CGCGAGCGAAACCTGCCGCACGGTGCGCCACCGCGGATGTTTGAAACGGCAAGTGTTACACAAGATCCGCGATTAGTTGGATAGCTTCTCTGATTAGAAATTCTGTCGCAGTTTAACTAATAAGCAACGCTTATGTCACAGTCTTTCATCCTTTAACGACTTCTCCGATTTAAATTATGTCGGATAAAAATTCAATGATTCTATTAACTGTTTCATTCCAAATTAATTTATATTTATTGTTTAAATATAGAATAAATTATTTCTCTTTCACAGCTTTCCTTTTGGATTACGTTTACTGTGGTAAAGCCGCGTTTTACGTACTCTACTTGTGACATACATTCAAATATGAAACAGTTATTTGTAGGTTATAACGAATACTTGTCCCGCATTCGAAACTAATCTACCGGGATCACTTGATGGACGTTTAGCCATTTTTACCAGATAGTTAAATTACTTATTTCATTATTGTGCTACTCATAGTAGCGAGTGACAGGAACTCATACATTAGAAAAGTATTGCACAGGCTAGACAGAAACCATGACAATGTGTCAAGTTTGTGGGTTCTGGCAAGCACACGAGTTCGATGAAGCTTAATTTCATTTAAAAATATCAGTTCAAGTGAAAGAAATCAACATCATTTCATTCTCAAACAGGCTGAAATAATGATGATGAAAGTAAAAGTAACTAAGGGTGTTAATATGATATGTATATGATATGTATTACCAATTATCATTAAAGGTACTGATAATAGTCGCCGTTAATTCTTCTCTTTGCACTTTTTATTTAATGTCTGTTAGAGCCAACCGATTTTTTTTAATTTTACGTGTATAGAAACATGATTTACTTCTCTTCTTCCGTTTGCGTCACTTAAACATGTATTTTACATTTTGACGAGTTAATTAGGTAACCCGTTTGATTACTTTTAAATGTGGTCTTATCGTTTCTAAATTATTCTCGTTTATCTCTCTGCGAGTCTCATGACTGACGCCACGTTAAAAGAAATACAAAATGCAAAGGTCAAAATGTTTATTCTCATGTCCCAACAATAATATTGTATGCAACTATATGCTCGTTCGATGACATTGTGGCGACCTTGATCAGTTAATCGGATTTGACCCGCGGCGGCCCAGTCAGGGCTGCAGAGAATTTTTAAACAATTACAATGCTATTGGGTACGGCCACAGCGGATTTTAATCGCAGGCTGATTTGAGTTCGACCCCTAACTATAAAAGGACAATATGAACGAATTAACGTCTTCTGTTTTTATTTCCTTTTAAATATAGTTTCTAACCAGTTTGTTGGTGTGGATGTTTTCATATAAACAAGACCGCCATATTCTGGGTTCTCCAAATGTTTGGTAAACCAAACTAGCAGATTCCTTCCTGCCACTTAGTCACACGGAAACAAAAAAATAAATTTAAACTTTTGTTACTTGAATAGTCGAACGATGAGCGAAGAGCAATAGGTATGACAGGAACAGAATTATAAAAGATGGCGTGAACGTAAGGAGACAATTACTCAGCAGAAATGCACTGAAATATTTTAATTGTAATATACAAAAACCAATATCAGTCTTTTTTCTACGATAATTTACGTCAAAACAACCGAAAGTAATCCTTCGCGAGGCAATTTCGTAACTGTCACACGACGCCACCGAGACGATTCGCGCCATCGTTAATGTGGATAATTAGTGCACTGGAATAAAGCACTTTATGTCATGGTCGCAAGGGCGTCATTGGCGTGATGCTGACGATAGTGATCGTACTTCATTTTTGTCGCTTGTTACAGCCTGCGTAAATTCTAGTGGTTAATGTTATTACTAGTGGTCTTCGATGCAAGTGCGTCCATTAATAGATATTGAATCGGAGGAGTTCACCAATCGCAAATAGGCTGCTGATTTTATCGTACTACAAAACTGTTACGTATGTATACACGGCCGCGGAGTTTCTTTCCGGTTCTACGCTCGACTGGTTTAAGTTGGTGAACCGGTGATAGATTTCGATTGGTTTTCAAAACTGTGTCTGTGATGCGCGGATGATTCCCCTCGAAATTTTTTTATACGGTTGTTGGAGGATACGGATAGAAGTTGGTAAGCCTTCAAAAATTTTTTATGTGACATAGTGGCAAACGAGCCGGCGGTTCACCTCATTTTAATTGACGACCGCCGCCCATGGACATTTGCAACACCCGTAGGGTTTTCAAAGCGTTGCCACCTTTAAATAAAGCGGGCCCCGGCTACCTCACTCACCAGACGAAACGCAGAAGTTTAACACTTCTACTTTATGCCGGTCTTCTGTGAGGTCGTGGTAATTACCCGGACGGACCTGCCCATTCGCGCAACAGTGAATACCATTGCGTGGTCCTTCCACAGTCAAGCGTACCAAAATACGCGTAAAGTTTAAATTACTTTGGTAATACATACCACTGATATGAAATACTTAGTAAAAGACAACTCCGCCTATTTCTCAAGCAGTAGCAATTAACCTATAATCGATATTTACTCGAAAGGGCAGAAAAACGTCTGTCACGTAAATAAATAAAAGTAACAAACGGAAAAAACATCAGTTAATATTTAAACATGCCACATATGGACAAAAGTTCTCTAAACATTACATTGTTTACAGGGATATCCGCATGGCAAGTCTAGTCAATCGTAAATAAGGCCATAGGCCATACGTAGAACTTACACGGCCGTATCAGCGATCTGACGGCAATTAAATGATAATTTGAGCTGTAAGAATCGTCTTGGAAGTCTGTCAGGGACGTACTCTGTTGTACTGTAGTATAGACAAGTGGTTTCAGTGATGCTAAATTGATAATTTTGCGTTTATATTATTCTATTAAGAATATGTGGTTGTCGAGTTATATTAATATACTTTAACATATCTATGTGAATGTCTTAATACGCGGGATGTCTCCTGTATAGCGCTCGCATTTTCATACCAGTTAACATTTTAGATTTAGCAAGAAAAGAACGTCCCCTTGACGTTTTGAAAGAAACCGTTGATTTATTTGGCGTTTACTTTAGAACAATTTTGCTGTAACTACAATATGGGTAGATAGGTAAGGTCCGTTTATTGAAGTTAATAATATATACAATGGAATAAATTATTTCTATAGATAATATTAATATAAAAAGCAATACTTAAAAGTTCAACACTTATTTCGACGCAACAGTACTCGTACGGTCCGCAGAATCAGAACGTATGGGAATGTCAGTCACGCTCTCGAAGTCGTGTGAATATGTTAAATGAAGTTTGTTATTTGAGTTTTATTTATTTTTTATGTAGGTGATACATAGCGAAAGAATTACTTGGACGGTTCCATTGCATTATGTCTTAGAAAAAATTGTTACGCAAGGCTGCTAACTAAACTAGTAAATAAATTTATAAATTACCGGATTACATTAAATAGATTAACTGCTGCTGCATTTTAACTCCCTAAATTAAATACAGTAAAGATGCTATGTATGTGTATGGTTCAAATACAATTCAATGCGTAGAGCTGTCTATTAACAAACAAGCACGTGACCGTTATTATTACTATGTTCGGAGAGGAATTAGATTTTATGTTTTAATTCAGTCACAATTAATGTAGCTCCATTAACTGCTATAATATCTTTGGTTTTATATTATTTTATATTAAATTTTGACATGATAACGTAGTACCTACGGTGTTGTACAATAGTTCGTATTACGCGTGATACAACTTATTCTGTCGATATAGCGACTAGCCCAATAAATCTGCTAACATATGAACTATAAATACTAGGCAAAAACTACCTACAAATAAAGTATAAATAAAAGATTAAATAAAGTCAAAATATTATATCATATTCCAACAGATGGTCCAGTGTTGTTTGAGAAGTTTAGATATTTTGGAAAAATTTTCGAAAGTTTAATTTTTATAAATATTTCTAAACAGATAATCAACCCATAATACGTTGTTGTTCACTCATTCATAATTTCAAGCGAAGAACGAATGAATCGTTTGCACTTTTGATTTCAACTGGGGTCGCTCGAAAGGAATTGAATTCATTTGGATTGACGACTCCGTGGCGCAGTCGCCATAGCATTGACTTGGCGCCGAGGGTGTAGGGTTCGATTCCCACGCGGGACAACTATTTGTGTGACTCACAGATAACTGTTTCGGGTGTTCGTCCACGTGAAATTTATATATGTAAAACGTCCTTACAACACAGAATGTTATGCTACAGTAGGGGCAATGTTTTGACGACCTAGCGTACGCCTCCGTCGCGTCGTGTCGCCCGCAGCGGGACCTCCTCGGCGATTCATCGTAATCGTTTCAGTGTCGTGCTCCCCAATTATCTCGATCGGATCGAGAGCCATCGGTTTCCATTTCTCGATTTCGTCGCTAATCGATCATCGGCCACGCCCGCTCTCGCCATTGTCTCTGCCTATCTCCGATGTTATAACCGTCGCAGTTTGCGGCATTTACTTTCGCCCCTGATGTCGTTATCCGCGCATTTACATCATTTATTATGATGTCTACTGTGTACAGGCGATTACGATAATCCACTCGTCCATGTTTTGATCGTTGCTTAGTTATGACTGAATATTTTGTTGCGATATGTGAAAGACACCTATTGTATTTTTTTTTTCATAGTAATATATCTTATGTAATACGACATAGCAGAAATTTTCACGGTGGTAGGGCCACGAAGGGTGGTAGGGTCATTTTTCTACCTTCATACATAGACGGGGTCGGCACAATAAACGAATCATATTGTACGTGGTTTTAGCTAGAATTTTTAAGACCCGCCGCACAACCTTCCTTGGTAACAAACACAAGGTACAGAACGATTAACAGTTAACCCCGGTCCACTCAAACACCCGTGTGGGAATCGAACCCACGCTGTCCGAGTAAGAGACCCGTAAGAAAAGCATAAACTACACTAAAAATGAAACCTTCGCGTAAACACAGTGAATCGCATAGCGATTGGCCATCGCGCTTTCGGTCTGGCTGAGCACCGGGGGCTTATGACGGGAGGCCTATGTGACGCAAGAGCCGCGCCAGTAATTCAGCGCCAGAGGCCGTCGACCCGCAGTGAAAGTCGAAGGTGCGACGCGGGTTACGCGGGTCCTTTGTTCTTGACCTACCTTACAATTAGCACCCGTAAACTCGCGCGAAAAAGCCTTTCGCTCGCGAAAAATTCGACCTTAGTGCGCGTGACAGGCCAAAATGGATTGTTAACTCATTTTTACTCGTGAAAGTAGTTTTGGTTGTGAACACTGACAGGTTAGCATATAATATTTTACGCAGGCAGAGGTGTTAAGTAGGTAAACAAAGGATTTATAAAAATATACCATTTTCATATGTTTTATTTTTATATATTACTAGCTGACTACTACTGGCAAACGTTGTTTTGCCATATAAATTATTTCTAGAGGAATCGGAAGTCGGTACGCGTTCAAAAATCCTTTGACTGTACCTGTCTGATTTGATTTGTATGGGAAAATAAAATTGTTTCTATTTCGAATTTCCATGCAATTTTTCCATAATTTCTCAACCTTTAATCCTTCCCTGGACTGCTACGAATGTATCAAAACCAAAATTACCAAAACGAGATTAACGAACAGCAATCCATTTATATATATAAGATTTGATATTAAATTATTATTCTTGAAATATAAATTTTTTCATCGAATGTAATCATAATATTTTAGAGTTAAACGCGTAAATGATAGACAAGTACTTTACACGTAGTTTACATATCAAGCAACAGAGTTATTTCTTATTATAATTTCGTGTAAAATTTGTTGCTTTTCTTTTTTTATACATCACATATATCGGAATAAAAATTCAAATTACAGTCTATTCGACATTATAAGTATGACGGCTGACAGAGGAAGGTGGAAGGATAGGACATGTTGTGCCAACCCCACTTAGTGTGGGATAAAGGCAGGGGAAAGTAGAAGAAGAAAGAATATCGATCCGAAAGTTACAACTAAACTTACAATAACGATACACGATATCAAACGATGGCAGAGGAAGGCCTTCTGAGCTGTTAATCGCTGCAAATGTTTCCGTTGCACTTTTTTTTGTAACTGTTAATAAGATCAACGGTCAACGGATCGACGAGGCGCCACGCGGTCTGGGCGAGAGCCTCGCAAAAGACGATAGCGGGAATTGTGTCTCACCTATGGCATTTCCAGACGTGTTCGGCGAAGGAACATTGGAGAAACCCAACAATTGTAACAAAACCTCCCGTCCTTTTAGGGAACCGGCCAGGAAAATATGGTACGGTAGACGATACTAGTTTACATCTTCCGTTTTACCTGACGTACTGTCCATACGTTTCCACGTATCTCGTATGTGGACTGGATTCGCACTTAAAATACCAAAATGAAAATCTACAAATAATCATCAACTGTTTTGACATTAAACTGCAATATTCATCATAGTGTGATTCTTACAAATCCACCTTTCCATTTCACGGTTACAGTCTTGATCAACTGTGAACCTTAGCAGGTTCGTATAGGGTTCAATTTTAGCCTTTCTCCACTGCAAGCAATGGCAAATTTCCCGCCACTCCTTAATACAAGCAGACGCATCTGCGTAAAGCGGTCCAGTTGGAAAGGCGTTATTTCGAGGAGGCTATAACGCCGACAAACACCTGTGTGTGGTCTCCGTTTACGTAACGGAGGTTGCGGTAAATACTCGACGATGCACGGAGCGCGCCGATAAATATTAAGAGACTATTAATCCGCCATTCATAATGTTTGGGCAACCACGTAAATTGGACGGTTATGTAGCAGCTCTCGAGTGTGTTGACCGAGAATGTATCCAATTTCTTTGCGTAAGAGGCCCCGTGTAATAACGACACTTGCATTTCAATTTTAAAGACAAACAAACCGCTGTACGTAAAGCAGGTTTATCCAATTTATTTAATTGAAAGATACCATTACCACCATGCTCTTATCACGTGCTCAGCAGTGAAGGAAAACATCGTGAGGCAACCTGCATATTTTCGAAATAATAACAAAAAATATTTCGAAGATATGTGAAGTCTGCCAAACTGTAGTTGAGGTGTTGTCTCTGAGGAGGCTTCTGCCCAGCAGTGGGATATGTATAGGCTGTTACTTTACTTTATTACCACTATGCATATTGACGGAGGTACAGGTGAATCTTGAAAGCCCTTTGAAAGGAAACATCTGCTCGTGCCAAATTACCGTGTGCCGATTTCTGCGCGGTGCGATTGTCTTCCGCCCTTCTGCACTTTAATGCCAATCACCTTGCGAACGCCGCGAGGAGAAATCGCGGCAGTTGGCGTTGCGTCATCGGGATGCTCCCGTGGCATCAGGCAAATGTCGGGTCACGCGTGCCTTCCGCCGTACGCGAACCGCGGGCGCGGCATTCTGTTCATACCCCACGGTTCCGCGACCTGAGTCAAATACTACTCGGATAGTTAAGCAGCGCGACCTAGGTTCGATTTCCGATGTATAAAGAAAATTAATACTATTCCAGTCAGACTGTCGACAGATATTCCATACAGAATCTTATAGTTTTCTTTCTATCCCCTTTATTTTATTGTTTATGTTCATTATAGAGCGAGGCTAGTTAGTTACTTTCGGAACTGTATGCCTGTGGTACTGTCGCCACATCATTTAGTGATTGCCTTCATTTTCAATCATTCGTAAGCGACACATCGCTACTTTATTTGTGTCAGTTTTTCACACAGCAATTTCACAGGCATTATTGCGTAGCAGTAAACAGACGAACGATTGCGCATGCGTATGCCCGACAGTGGGAAACTAGTTTAAATTCTAACCAGACCGACTCTGCTAATTACGAACAATGCATTGGTAATTGTTTCATTTGCGCGTGTAACGCGAATTACTAATGACAGTGTCGAATGTTTTCTTCGGATTTTCTGTTCCACCTCTTGTGCCTCTTTGCGCAATCGATTTCGAGACGCTACTTCTTATACATACATACCGCTTAAGATTGTACTCAAAGTTATCAATATCGGACATCAACGTATATAAAATGAAATAAGAGACGGTACGGGGACTAAGCCCAACTATATCGATATTATACTATCGTTGATTAATTTAAAATTACCACTACCGTAATTTTTCAGGTCACGGAACACTTAGCGTAACATAATCCCAATAGCGATATTCGCGTTATTTATTAGGCGTCACATTGAATTCTCTTATCGGATTCTCGAATAGAAAAATCACCGCGACGAATGATAGTAACAGTTCCGAGTCGAGCCGTGCTCGCGCTTCGAGTTGGAGACGAGCGGGCGTATGCGATAATCTGTATGTGCGAGTGGGAGGGGTGCAATGGAAATTAAGAATAATATCGAAATCGATCTCGATCGCCGCTGACAGGGCATCAGTCTGGCTCACAATGGCGGGTGGGGCCGGGGCTCGTGTGCTGCATTAGACGCGAGGACCTTAAATATGCATCGGATACAACAATGCGAGGGCCCGCCGTCGCAGGGAACCATCTAACACAGTGACCCGCATTTTTTTCGTGGGCCAATGACACGATTTGTCGCTTGACGCGTGAACTTTTGTCACACATACCTCCATCTTGAATTCCGAAGCGTAATGTATTGTTATGAGACAACGAGCAATCGAAAGAGCGCACGTCTGCTAACACCGACAGAGTAAACTCAGATAACGATTATGCAGTGTGTGGCAAATTGTGGTATGTTGTGCGGTTGACTTTATCTTGTTGCAGAGTAACTACTTAAACATTAAGTCCTCCCTCTGCAACACATGACTTAGATTTGCAAGTAAAAACTTCCGTTGGATTTGCAAGTAAGAACTTCCGTTGGCATTATCCACTCAAATTCAGAAACTCGCCAGACAGTTACGCGTAAGAAATCAGTCAGCGTGGTGTCAGTGCATGTATCGTTTAAGAATAACTTTAAGTTATTTTTGTAAAACATAAATATGTTGCGAAATGGTTTTACGACACAGCAATGGTATCGTTATGTTTTTAGAAGGTAATATGTTACGTTTCGTCGGTGGGAGACCAAACTATTGCGATATGGTATCTATGTGATTTGGGAGGATTCTGCGTCTGGTGAGCGGATAATGTGAGCGCGGTTAGCCCACGCTGACTTTCGTCCGTGCCCCTCATTAGCTAGTCCACGGGCGTAGCGAGCCAGGGGGCACTTTCACCGCGGCGGACGCAGATGGATGGGGGCGCTGGGAACAACTCTGTATTCCGCGGACGCAGCAGTTGCGTTAGACCGGGGAGCGTGGCAGATTTCGCATCGTTACGGTCGACGGAACGAAAGCTCATTAGTGACGTTACTACAGCGCGTAACGATCTTACGTGCCTCGTCACATGAATGTACATGTGTAACAGTAGTGATGTACGCTGTACATATCGATAAGTGATTGCACTTACAACACTAATCCGGAAACCCTGTTGGGTTAGATATAATGCGCCCGTCGTCGTACCGGCCACAGATGTGTATCCGGAACTGGTCACTACAGATGCGATCGCCGGTACACCGCCGCCGTCTCGGCCTAAACTACGCTTTCAAACCTATCTCGGGTAATGACCACTATTAAAACGTTGGTACCACTGTTAGACTGGAAACAGAGCATTGTTCCCCCGTCGATTGTATCGGCCGCGGCAATTAAACGCCGCGTTACGGTACAAGCGGTCGCGAGCCGGTGGGCTTGCTGTCGTCGGGTCACGCGATAAGCCCACCCGCCTTGTTTCACGGCACTTGCGTTGTCGCCGAACGGTACGGGAAACCGCAAGCACCAGGGGATAGACACACTCTAGAATAATCCGATAAATAAATACTCGTACAATAATAGATTTCCTTGGTTACGAACTGGCTTGAAAGTCGACAGGAATCGCAGGCGACTAGTGCACAAATGGAAAAGTGTACATATTTTTGGTGCTCTTAGGTACCTCTATTCAACAGTGGACATTTAATATAATTTGGGACCTTAAATTTCGAAACTTCTATATAGGTACGCGATACTTAAGGGTTTTCTTTTGGGTAATCCTGAGGAATTATCTTGATACTATTGCCTTCTAAAACTGTAACGTTAAGTATGATATTTTGGACGACAAAATAACATATTATCAAAATTTTTGATTAATTTGATTTAAATGCTAGTCTCTGCACTCAAGAAGAATTTACGTATTTTGAGTAAATTATGAATCATAAATTGAATAAATTTGAATAATGTAAATAAATTTTAATAAAGATTCAAATAAATCACGGAACAAAAACATTAAAAGCCTGTTATAATAATATTTTCTTGTCTTCTTTTCAGGTAATAATTGACTGTTCAATCGTCTCCTAGAAAATAGCAGAAGTTGTAACAACGATTGTATGTATTTTCAAATCTTATCATAGAAGTTGAAACTTAAAAAACTTCATGTAATGACAAGATACTTATCCTGTTTGAGTACTGAAACTGCTATATCGGAGTCTTAATTACACTAAATAAAATGATGGTCAAACAAGTCCTTGTAATATACACGAATGAACGAATGAAAATGTAAATAAACCTTTGATAATATACATTTTATTGTGTGCATTAATCCCAAGTTTGGTTGATTTTCAATTAAAACTGATTTCGGTTTATCGTTCAATCCGGCGATGTGCAGAATAAATTCGTTAATTTGGCATTCTAATAACATGTTTAAACATAACCGACGACTGCGTGGGATGATAAACAAAATTATATTATACATGTCAATATACAATCAAATATAACTTATATATTAATCCCAACCAATCCTAATTAAAAGCGCAGACCGCATATTGCTGTGGCCGAGACCATATACAGATCTTTATAAATTAGTTTTCTTATGAAACTTCGTTTTGATTTATTTTTACTGTCCATTCAATTAATGGGCCCCCTAAAAATAACACAAACGCGTGGTCCATTTGAGACGTAAGGAATTCAAAAAGGAGCAACGTCGAATTTCTGAATTACTCCTTCGATATTTCGGAATTGGCCGGCTTTAATGCGGCGGGTAGCCCGAAAATCGATTCATGGGCAATTCAATCTCCGAGACGATAAAAGGGTCTTTAGATTTTATTATTAATCGTAAAATTCGTTGGGGCCGAAACGTTGTTGTTACGAGAGATCCTTCAAACGATATCTCGATTGTTGGTACACGCAGCTGCGATCTGATTACCCTCTACGAGATTCCTCGCGATTTTAATAATAGGGCCTTTAAATGGGCCGCCTCTTAAATGAATCGGCGTACGAGTAGTCACATACGTTTGCAGAAAGTGGCCCTGTGGATCAATATTGCCTGAGCGTCCCCAGCACACGATGAAGTTTCATTGCGCCGTGCCGCGTACCTCGTGCAAAGGACTTTCTGCCTTACCAGCCACCTTCATGAATGGCCATGAAAGGATCGTTAGTTATTAAAAAGAAAATAACCTGCATATCGATTACTATATGTATGTTTAGTCAGTGAACGTTTATACTTTTCTCTTCGGAGATGTCATGTTTGAAAAAAAAATTAACCGTCGGAATTTCTTTTCAAACAAGAAGTACCGTCGATCCAAATAAGCTTGTGAAAGTAAGTTTCTCACAACGAGAACATCAATTCAGTACATACCGGCAGAAATGCTGAGCTTGGTTCTCATAATTATTCGAGCACGTCACTCGTCTTTTTAAACCCTATAGAATTGTCAGAATTTTAACGTAGTTTCGGAGGGTGATTGAGTATCAACTCGATATAATTCATGCATTATATCGTATATATATCGACAATAAACTATAGTTTAAGATGTCGAAGATTTTAATAAATTTAGGTACTCTAAACTAGAAAAAATGTTAGCTATCTTTAATTCTTTAACTTTGGTAAGGCCACGCAACACCAAAGCTGTAGCTACCCACCACCGAGATGAAAACTCGTCATCACAAGGCCCTGTCCCTGACCAATAGGCCAAAGGAACTAAAATAAAACATTGGATATGACGTTTATGTACTAGTTCGTTATCTATGAATATTAAAACACACATAAATGTAATTAAAAGCTTAAATCAAAATATGAGTTGTTCAAAACTGTTTCCCTAACCATAACACCCATTGTTATTTCAATGTTAATTCGGCGTAACACTTATCGATATCACGTAATTAAATATTCACCTTGCTCCAGTTAAACAAGTGCGGTGTCTTTGACCAATTAGCTGGTTACCGATGACTGTTTAAGTCTATCTTATATTTTCTATAGATATCCGTAGGTATATTGCATACTAATAATAATGAAATATTTAAAAATAAAAACAAGTTATTTTAAATTAAGATTTAGGTTACATGAGTAAACGACAGGAATTTGAATAGATTAGAAAATGGTATTAGAGATATGAGTCTGATATAAATTTTTGTTGTCGGAGTTCAGTATGGCCTTATTATAAATCAAGTCACCAGTAGTTTTAACCGACTTCAAAAAAGGAGGAGGTTTCTCAATTCGACCTAGTATATTTTTATTTTTTTTATGTATGTTCGTGGATAACTGTCGTTTATGAACCGATTTTGATGACTCTTTTTTTGTCAGAAAGGAGATATCCCAAGTGTAGTACCGTGATAAGGAAATCCGGATCTGATGATGGCATCCCAGAGAAATTGAGTGCCATCATTGAATGTTATAGGTATTAATAATGTTTTTTAATTTTCGAATGGAATTCGGTTTTTTTTTTGGTAAAAGTTATACTTGTCAGATACCTTCTCGGTTGCAATCTCTATATTTATTATGACAGGCAAAAACCTTTTGTTCGATGATCGCAGCTCCGTTGTAAATCCATAGTCGAAGAATGGTGAAGCAGATTGGGTTGTACTCCACTGGCATTGATCTACCTCAGACCTTATTCATAATAACGTACCCAATAGCTCTTAACAAATCGACCGGAGTCATAAGCCAGCGTCAAAAGGATCCGGCGAGTTGGGAAATAAATCGCATCACGAACGGCAAGCGCCTTGGTGTTTATTAACATTCACCTTGAGATTTTAATGGCTCCATAAACGCCTATTGATACAGATTTGAGTTTAATTAAGTCAACACTCGCTCTCGCCGCGTCAAGGGCACGCGCCCAATTCATAGTGTGCCTATTCAGAAAATGTCAAATTTATATTCAATTCATCGTTTACAAACGTATGCAAACGTAATTTGTTTAAATGTTACCACAAGATGTGAGACCATAATATGATTTATATGGACATTTACTAACCGAAAAATAATTATATATTTTTAAATAACGGAATCCATCTTGTTTATGAAATAAATTATTTTCAGATTCATACGCATTTATACTATAACTAGATTTTTGACCGCGACTCCGCGCGCGTCTTTATCCTATTGTTAAATAAATATCTTTTTTAATAAAAAGAATAAAATATCCTCTTTAATACCTCAAAGAATTATCGTGAAATTTTGTACTATGTGTACATAATTTGAGTAGTTTTGGCTTGAAAGCGTAACAAACATTCACATTACTTACATTCACATTTATAATATTATTAGGGGTTAGGAATTAGGGATGACCAAATTGGAGTCTGGCAGTGTTATATTGAAAGTTAAATTACTTATTATTTATACGCACGGGCGCACTTAACGAAAGCGTTTCAACGTGAAATGCGTTGGGGGTCGTTAACTTTAACTATTCACATCGCTTTGAGCGTCGATAATACGTCGCAGCACTAATAATGTGGAAAGTTAAGCACGGGCCTGGGAAATTGTTTTCCACGCCGGATTTCCACTTAATGGATGAAAGTTATTGGTTCCGTTATGAGCCGTCGAGGATTTCACCACGTCGTAGGCTAATGGCCACGTGTGGCGAGGTGATGTCACGACTGTCTCGACAAAACGCAGTCATCTGAAAGCTTCCGTCTGGACTATTTTTCTAAATATATGAAAGACAGTATTGGCAGAGACTATATATTTATTTTTTTAACAATTAAGGTCATCTATGTTATTATAACAGTCTCATTAGGTACTATTTGGTATAGATGGGTACTATAAGTACGTAATGATATTTCAATACTTAATAATATGAACAAGATTTCAAGGTTTATATGTATAGAAACTTTGAAATATTGTTCATATTTGTCTTCTTCTTTCCCCTGCCCTGATCCAACCTAGGTGGCTTCGGCTCATCATGTAAAACGTGTTGTTACTGATATTGACTAGGTTGACCTGCCTGACGTGAACCCTACTTGTGATTAAGCACCAAGCCCCGCAACAATTATCTGTGGGTCGCACAAATACTTGCCCATGTGGGAATCGAACCCACAACCGCTGGTGCTCCAGGCAACAGCGCCACCGATGTATAGTTTTGTTTAACATTTAAGTCTAATGTTGTGCGTAATGAA